TGTCGCCATTGTCGCCCACGAACAGCCCATTGCCGCAGACATATTGTGAATCGGTGTAGCGTGAGTCGCATATAACGTTGTAATGAAAATAGACTCTGTTGACACCGTTCATGAATAATGCAATACCGAAATTAAAGCGTTTATTTGCATGAGAATCCATTTGCAAAAATATTGAGTTGCGCCCGGCGAGATTGCATTGTGAAGCATACGGGCGCGGGCGTAAGCTCATCAACGGTGTTTCGATATGGCACAAGGCAAGCCTGTTGTTTTTTTTCGGCAAAGAACCACTTTGTATTTTGGATGGACACGCGTTTAAAATGCCAACCATAGTAACTGGGATCATCAACAAATAGAATGGGCGTAATAGGTTTTTAAACATCACCGCCTCCCGTTTTACCCTTCTACCAAGTCAGTCAGAATGCGATGTACGAGTTAGCAGCGTGAGCTATCGAGGAGAGAGTGGCTGGCTATCATAGAGGTGCACGGGTATTACTGGATAATAACGGCAGTCGCGATAAAGCTGCAAAGCGTCGTCGCGAATAATGATCGAAGATTAATTTCGGTCCGCTAAACTTTTATTCATCTCGGTTTACGCACCTATACACGCCTCGTAAACGACTTTAGATGAAAGGCGCCGGTTTGACTTCGCAAAGAGTAATGATACCATATTATGTGTGGTTATTCATTCATTTATAACGAGTGAGATAAGAGGAGGACGATAAAGAACGTAAAGACCATTAACATGAATAAATTCAAATATGCATGCGTTATTCTTTTATATTCGCGAGTTGAGTGAAACGAGAACACGATATATAATGTTGTACGCCAATACGATAGTAAAACGAAACTATCGGGAGATCGCTGATCGTCCAATCAGCTCCCCCATCCGTGTACCAATTTTGTCTATCGGATTCTGAACTTGAGAACGTCTCAATTTATCAGCTAATAGAAATTATTCGATTGATTCTACGAGTATATCGACGGCGGTTGTGTATAAATCTAATCCACTTCGAGCAATAACGATCGAACCTATAGAATTCAGCAAATCATCCGAATTGCTACAGCGCGGCCACATGTGTAGCTCACTGATGCCGGTCACTGAATGTACGTGGTCGAGATTACGAAGCCTAACTGAATCTACGCAATCAATGGTATAGGTGGGCGCGCTGTGTACGCGTTTATTTGAACCATCTTTCAACCCCCTTTACTTAAATCAATTACGTGCGAGTTGATAAAATCGAATATACTAATCGAATGTACTAATAATATTGAGTTGGATATCGTTGACCTCTCGCCGTTTGAAGTTTCGCCGTTAAAGGCAGTCACCGCGCAATGTCTGATTGCACGTGCGCTAGTCTATACAGCACCTGTGCAAGTTCTGGGCGAGCAGGATTTACAGCGGCTGTCTAATGGCGGGACTCGATCATAAATGGGAAGAACATGTGAGCGTGCCGTTGCCGACAGCTAGTGCAATCTCGGATGGTAATCGCGGGCCCTGCTGCGAAACAGTCGCTAGTGCGATGAGTACAGTTGCGCATAGCATGTTCTTTGTACATTGATTCAGCTACAATCTATCTCCAATTGCGTATCCCGCTGTTTGCAAGCTGGTGCTAGCGTACTTCATTGACGTAGGTTACTGTCGCCGCTGCCGCACAGCAATCTCTCGTCTAGCCTAGTAAGCGGTTTATAAAAAAAACGCTTGCTCTGCGTTTGCTCCCCACAAGGTCGTCTGTGGATGTCAGCGAAATGCTTTAAGAAACGGATTGCGAAGGCTTTTCGAACAAGAAAGCGCATGAACAGCGTGAAATTTTCCATTGAACGGTATCAAGCTTTGGATTTCTTGGGTGAAATATAAACTATATCAAGAGCTATATTAGATAATAATATATTATATTTATGATAATAGGTATTATTAGCTCGACTATATCATATGCATGTTGCAAGGTCAAATCTGTGCAGTACGTACATTCTTATCTGACCACCGGTAAACTATCGTATAGATATATTGATGTTAAATGAGTACAAAACGTAAAATATCAATCTTTTATATTAACAAAATTATATTAATGTGGAATTGAATTGTATGGAAATTCTAGATCGCTTTGCTAAAAGACCGCAATCTTACGCGGAGGTATGTATAGGCATATGTGTGCGCGTGTTTGTGTTTGTGTTTGTGTGCGTAGGTATGTGTGTGTGTGTGTGTGTGTGTGTGTGTGAGAGAGAGAGAGAGAGAGAGAGAGAGAGAGAGTACGTGCGCGGACGTGTGTGAGTATGTTTGCGCGCGTGCGTGCCTGCGTATGTATCACTCGTGTGCCTTCGTGTGTTCGTATGTTCACCGGTGCAACAGAGATTGTGTAGCTACACTATATCTTGCATGCATTGTACCGAGGTCTACTGCATTATCATTGAAGAGTATTGGGTGATCGCATTGCTCACCGCCCTACGTATAGTTCATATAAGAACGTAATGACGTATTATATTAACCGTTACATATAAGCGGGGTTTCTTTACAAAAATAATGTGCCCCCAAAGGCATACTGCGTCTAACCGTATATAGACACGTGCACTTTTTTTTTAGAAATGTCAGAAATTGCCATTGTGTCAGAAAGGTACAGCTGAACACGAGCCACATGGTCAACTGACGTCAGACGTAGTAGGTACGCAACCAATACTGTGGGCGCTTAGGCCTACGTCAGTAAGCCTGGGACACGCCATGCGAATTTCCCTGCCATCATATCCGCAGCGAAATGCGCGGCCAAAATATTCGCACCCGCATGCGATAATTGAGCGGACACACCATGCGAATATATTCGCACGACCGCAGCGGACACACTACACGCGATTTATGGTCGCCACACGGCTCCAACCATGGCTCCAACGAATCTGTACGCAGCGGTAAAAATCCGCAGCGAAAATATCAAACATGTTGGATCGCCGCGAATTTCGGTGCGGATGAAATTCGAGCCGAACTTGGCCGGCGCTTGAGCGAACACACCATGCGAATTACGCGGCGGTTTTAAAATCCGCTGCGGTCGTGCGAATAAATTCGCATGGTAAGTCCCCCGCATAAGACGCCGTGAGTGTGAGACAGTGTTTCAGCAGAGGATATAATTATAACAGTCTGTAGATTACATAGGCGTAGTCTATAACTGAAACGTACGCAATCAAAACAAGTAAAGAGGTGGATCCGATAGAAACCACGCCCGTATAGAACACTCTCAGTGACGTGTGTACCATGTTGCATGAGGGTATGGAACATTCATAATAACGTGTGTTCTGTTTCGTACGCGGGGACACCGCACTCAATGCGTGTGCCGTGTTGCATGAGGGCATGGAACATTCATAATAACGTGTGTTCCCTGTCGTACGCGGGGACACCGCACTCAACGCGTGTGCCCTGTTGCATGAGGGTATGAAACCTTCATAATAACGTGTGTTCCCTGTCGTACGCGGGGACACCGTACCCAACGCGTGTGGCGTGTTGCATGATGCTGTATGAGGAAATAGAACATTATCACCTCAATTGCGCCTACACGCGATTTAGCAAAATAATTCCTACCGTCCATATACTACCATCTATGACTGCCCTCTGTTATCAACCTCCCACAACACATATCCATCTGACATCATGCAGTAGCGTTCATTTTTACCTCCGCCAAGGAGGTAATGTAATCGGTCTCGTGTGTGTTCGTGTGTGTGTAGCCACTAGTGTTCGCGCGATCGAGTCAGCAGCAGCTCGCCTTAGGGCGTCCAGTCAGCAGCCAGCAGCGAGCCAGCTGTTATACACATACATGTTACATGCTGGCAGAGGTATGAACTCTCCGTGAGTGCCCTCCGTCTAGTTAATCCATGTTTTACATCACAACGTATTAAACGTGTGTTGATGGAATGACCGAATCATAAACGTCACGTCAATTCTACTGGAAAATTGTGCTTACCCTATGATTTTGGTGTATGTGGAAAGCTTTTTGACGAAAACATAACAAAATAACTCTCTTTTTTAATACATCACAGACGTATTCAGTGTTTCTTTCACGGAAATATATAATCAATCAATATTTGGCAGTGCAAATAACAAACATTTACGTGTACAAAAATTAAATATGAATTTCATGGGTCGTTTCCGATGTTAGTAATAAAATAGCTTCAGGGTAGTAATTTTCGAAAAGATATTAATATCAGTACGGTGTTTTTGGTAGAATGCACTTCCAGAGAACGACCAGGCACCCATCACAACGTAACATGGTTCGATGTACATGTCGGAACAGTAATAAAATCACTTCATTTCCTAATAAAAAGTATAGCTTGTGTAGATAAGTCATATCTGACCGTACCGCATACGAGCACTGTAATTGCAATTCTATACCGATTAAAACAAGATTAGCTAAATAACAAGTTAATCATATAAGTATACATCATAACAATGAGTAAATTACAAAATCAACTGGCGTGAATAATATCCACCTAATTACCCTGCAATGTTGTTGAGTATCTCACCACACCTGTTACATCAGATCACCTGCAGCTTCTTACAATAATCGTGGCATATTATACCTCCGACATTTACGACATGGGAAAACCGCGTGGACACGCTAAGATGGAAAGTCATCCATCCCCCCCAACACCTCGCGCTACTAAGGATTTCAGCGTGAACTACGTGACTACACCAAAAACATAAAGCTGGTATTACCACAAGACTTGTAGAAAAATGATCACTCGCTATAGCTTTTGTCACTATGAATACTGCTGGCTGTGTAACAGTTGTACATGAAACCTGCTAACACGGCCGCCCACGACCACATTGGCACCACATAATATCAAACGTGCACAAAATCGGCCAGTCATGTCTACACACGCGCACACGCACACGCACGCACGCACGCACGCACGCACGCACGCACGCACGCACGCATATATATATATATATATATATATATATATATTACAAATATATGTATATATACATATATATATATACATAT